AACAACTTGAAGCTGGTAAGCCTATCTTATTACTTGTGTTTAATGTATACTTTATTTGTATGTTTATTTAGATTACTTCTAAACTAATTTCTTGTGTTACTATCTTATTATACAGAATTTATGAATACGGGAAGAGAGCCTTGCATTGTCGACATATAGTGATTTTCCATTTGTTGTACAAGGCTACAAGCTCAGGTATTTCATTATACACTTGCTCTGAAAATGCTCTTTGTATTGATTCATTATACACTTGCTCTCAGTCTCATGTATTTCATTATACAAGCTCTTTGTATTATACAGGTATTTCTGGACCATGAGCTATCTTTCTCTTTCTCTGAAAATGCTCTTTGTATTGTTTGAAATTGCAGATTTTTAACTTGTCTCACAGTCCTACTGAGAATCTGAGATTGAGAGCTACATTTGGCCTAGTTGTTTGTTTGTGTTGACTGTTGCGGCTTCCCATAACTTGGAACTCTTTTGTTATGTGTAATATGTTAAAGAACTGTTGGGACTTTAGTAGTTTGGTTTATTTTATTTTGCTATGAAAATTTGGTTTGAAAGACAATTGATTGTGTTTTGTTTTGGGCTCTTCAGTTTGGTTTACTGTCCAATTGTGTAAATTTCAGATTGTTGTTTTGTTTTGTTAAGTTCGAACATTGTTACTAGGACTGTGCATTTTTGAACTCAGTTGCATTATTAATTTTTATGAGTACTTAGTTCAGTCAGTTGTGTACTGTAAAGTGTAAATTGAACATTCAGTAATCAGTACTGTAAATTGAACATTCAGTTTAAATCATTTTGTACTGTAAATTGAACATTCAGTTCAGTTAATTGTGTACTCAGTTATATGTAACAATGTTAAGTACTTAATTTCGAAGTTTACAGTTAAAACAAGTATTTGAAAAGTGATTGCTCAATTTGTATTTGGAAAGTAATTCCCAACATTTGTTTATATACTTCGAACAAGTTCTGAAAATTAACAATCCGATCCGACAATCCGAAAATTTATCCGATTCAAAGTTTCAAATCCGATCCGATCCAATGTTAATTCGGATCGGATTCGGATTGCCCTTCTCAGAATCCGAAATCCGAAATCCGAATCCGAAATATGCTAAATCCGATCCGATCCAATCCGTGCACAGCCCTACCCACAAGCACAGTAATATAACCAAACAATAAAGCCAAGTACAGATTATATTACAAGCTCGAATTTTGAACCCTAAACCAGAAGTTCTGGGTTCTAGTCCCCAGCAGAGTCGTCAGAGCTGTCACACCTCCTTTTTCCGAAGAAATAGGGAGTTTTTTCAATTAAAGTAACGTTGTTCGAAATGAGATTATTTATTTAATTCAGAATCGCCACTTAGGATAATTTATGGTGTCCCAAGTCACCAATTTATTTTAAATCCCAAATTGAGAAAATTTGACTCTGTTTAAAAGTCCGCAAAACCAGAAGACCGGGTAAGGAATTCTGTTAACTCGAGAGAAGGTGTGAGGTAATCCCGAGTTTCGTGATTTTAGCACGGTTGCTTTTAATCTTACCTGGCTTAATTAAATTGATTAATTACTTATATTTAGAACCTATGTGTATTTTACCTTTTACCGCTTTTAATTACTTGGTTATTTGTGATTATGGAATTATCTTGAAATGAGTCACACGTACATGTACTCGTTTTGTTTAGTATGTCAAAGTTGTGTCACGCGTACGTGTGCACAACTAATAACAATTTATCATTGTTAAGATTGTTTGGCCAAAGTCACGCGAATGTGTACCTTGGTTTTAAGTTTAAAAATTGTAACTATGTCACGCGAACGTGTACATAATCACGATCATTTATTTATTAATACTCACCTAAAGCATACTAGCGATTATTCATGATTTGTTTCTTTCCTAAGTTAGAGATTAAAAAATGCCAGCATTTAAATAAAAGCCCAAGGTTCGTGAAGCTTATTCCGGTCCAAATCTTTTAACAACTAGCCTACACATTTCTTTCCAAGAGTTCAATTTGTTGTTTTCCTTTTTGGATCTAATAAATAAAATAATATTTTTTTCTATTTCTACATATGACAAGTTGTTTGGACTAGTCACTGTCTTTGGTGCTTTGTGTGATATTGAAAATTCTATTTTATTATGACCACTGCCACATTGTTGCATTTAGCATGTTAATTGTATTTTGGTTCCTGATCTCTTGATAAGTTTATGACAGTGGATTACGTTATGCGAATACCACCATTCAGCCGGAAATGTTGCTTTGTAACCAAGTTTCCTATTGTGATGTCGTGATTGTTCATAAAACTTATCCATAAACTATAATAAACTTATCCATAAAACTCTTAAACACATTCATGGTAAAACATGGTAGGGATAATTCGAACGAAACAGTGTGAATATTAGTTCCTAGTTAATAACATCTCAATTCATACATTATATTAAACAACAGATTTACTCAAAGCCTCTGGGGGTTTACAATAACGAATTACACGGATTATAATTTGACGGTGAGGTTCTTCAAACACCCAATATCACTCACAGAATCAACTGAAGAACACACACATTTTTATATTCTCACGGATAAGCTTCACTTCCCCAAATTATGACTAGTCACGAAATCACAATTAGTTTAAGCATGATGGGTCAAATTTAAATCAATTGAATATCCTATTAGGTGTAGATATACCCAAACAATAACAGAAATAATAGATTCACAACCTGTCAAGCAATTCAAATCATTGGTTAAAAAAGGTAAATGACAAATTTGTAGGTGTGTACCTAATGCCTTGAGTTCATTTGAGCAATAATCAGCAACAAATAGCAAAATTTCAGCCAATTCCTCTTGAACTTTTATTCAAAAATAAGCCTTTGTATACAACCTAAAGCAAAATCTAACAACGAACTTGAACCAAAACGGAAATCTGCTCACGCGAGGAACTCGAACGGAGAAGGAACTTCAACTCGAATACATTTTCAATCAAACTCCATATGTAAATCAAAATCTGAATTGAAAGAATCAACAAAAATACATTTTTTGTATTTTTTTTTTCGAATTTGACGCCAAGAACTGAAGATTTTTTTTGGTTTGTATTTTCGGAAAAAAAAAAAGAACCAATATGGAAGAATGAGAAGAACCTTATCTCACACCTTTTCTCTCAAGGTTCCCTCTCTGATTTTTCGTTCAACTCCCCTAACCTTATTTGTTGTTTCCCCCTTTTTTTTACCTCATTCTATATATGTGTGTGTATTTAGGCTGCTAGGTGTTGGAAAGTATGGATGATTTTTGGAATTGGAGGCGGCAGATTTTAGCTCTTTGAAGCTAGGAGGTGTGTCGGAAATTTGGAGGAGTTGAGTCTTTGAAGGAGGTAGCCAATTTCCTTCTCTATTCGTTCTTCTTTTTTTAGTGTGTGTGTGTTCGTTCTCAAGTGCACTGATTAGGTTAATTTTAGGTCTTTTTAGATTAAGGGAGGAGTGGGCTCACAAGACAAAATCTGAAATTGCGCAAATATTTTGGACTCTTCAATTCTAAAAGTCCATAAATTAACCAACTAAAACTTCTTCCCTTTAAATAAATTATAATTAATTCCAATTAACTAAAGTAAGACTGTATCATTATATGAAACTATTTTTATTTTGTATTTTCGTTTTTATGTTTAAAAATTAAAATTGAAGATAAAATATACTAAAATTCTGTAAAATCAAATGGATACTAAAAATACTACGATTACTAAAAATAACTCTTAAAAATTTGTGCGGGTCAAAAATTATGTTCTCGCAGTTATTCTAAGCCCGGTCGCTTAAGAACTCCCTGAGATGGCCGTTTTTCAACAATGTCGCCACATCCACGCATAGATGACAACAATCCCCAGTACGATGGTTGTTGGTCCCATGATACTCACACCATATATTATGATCCCGCTGACTGGAATCGGATCTCATCGGCCTCGGGAACCGTGCTTCTTTAGTGTTCCTCATCGCCGATACCAGTTACACTATGCTGACATTGAAGTTATAGTCAGACAATCTGGATAGGTGGAATCCCGAGAGCCCGATACTTTGTCCTGCAACGATCTGTTATTCCATCTACGATCAGCTCTCCTATCGGTAGCGAACCTATTCGCTGACTAGAAACCTCTGTCGGGTCCTTCAACCCTTTCGTAGGGAAAAAACTAAACCCTAGAAGGCCGTCGATATGCGTCGAAATAATTCTTCAACTTTTCCTTATTCTTCTCTCGGTCCCGACCCTTAGTTGATGCCGGGAAACTAAGTTGGTCATCCTCTATTCTTATCTTTGATTCATAGCAGAATTTCTTTTAGTTTTCGAAAAGTGTCAGAACTCCTCGGATTCAACCCTTTACTAAATGCCTCGGCCGCCCATTCATCTGGCATGGCAAGTAGAAGCATCATTTCCTTCTGAAATCTGGCCACGAACTTCCGCAGTAATACGGGCTCTCCTTGCGCAATTCTGAATATGTCAGCCTTTTGTCTTGCACCTTTCTGGCCCCAACATGGGCCTTGATAAAAGAATCTGCGAGTATCTCAAAGGAATTTATCGAGTGCTCGGGTAAAAGTGAATACCATGTCAGGTCCCCTTTCATGAGGGTCTCCCCGAACTTCTTCAGCAAGACTGACTCAATCTAGTGCGGAGCTAAGTCGTTCCCCTTCACCGCCGTTGTATAGGTAGTGATGTGCTCCCGAGGATCCGAGATCCCATCATATTTTGGCACGTCTGGCATTTTGAACTGCTTCGTAATTAACTCCGGTGCCGCACTTGGTTTGAATGATAATTGCGTATATTTTTTTGAGTCCGGTCCTTTCAACAATGGCGGCGCGCTCGGGATTTGATCCATTCAGGCATTTTATTTCCCTCGTAAACCACATGAGTTCGATTTTAAAGGGATCAATTCCCATTATTGTTACCAGATCCGCTGTCGTTCCCCCGAGCCCCGTCGAAGCCAACTTCACCCCTCGGGGTATTGTTATCAACCTTTTGTGCCGTTTGATTTATAGGAGCATCAGGAGGCACTGGACATCTTCCATTTGCATTGTTGGAAGCACCCAACAATGCTTGTCTTAATTTTGTCATGACCTGATCTTGTCGCGAGAGGTGACCCATAATAGCCTTTTGTTGTTCCTTCAGGATCCTTACTGTTTCCGCAATGTGCTTGTCTTCAGCATCATCAGGAGTCGCCTTCCTAACGTGTCGTGGATATTGCCCGCCATGGACTAGCGTGGCTTCACTCCCCTCGTTGCGGGTATCACTGATCGAATCTTCATATTGAGGCTGATTTCCTTGGGCCTCAACGTTGTGCATGATGTTGACATCGTTATCTGCTGTTTTTACAATATTTCACTAAGAAACAAAGAATTAAATAGGTTAGTAATAGATGTAAGGATCAACTCAATTACGCAACTGTCTAAGCCCCACAGTGGGCGCCAAACTATTTACCCGTAAAACTGTACAATTGAATTTATAACGTGATTTATAGACAAGCGAATTGATTTAATATCAAAATAATAAATAAATTAAGTAAAATGCAAGACATAGTGTTGAAATCGAGGTAAGACAGAAGACAACTTGGTTCCGGGAGCAAAGCTTCCCAAGATAGTAATACAAGTATCACTAGACAAAAAATAAAGTATTATTGAGTTTTTAAATAGTATGTAGCATAAGTATGTCAGAAAATCCGTCCCTCATACAATGACTGTTGAAGTCACTATTTATAGCTGTGCCTA